ATGCTCCACCCTGGGTCAGAGAAGTAAACTCACCCTAAAGAGAATAGCATGTCTTAATACTATGAAATTGGTTTTACTGCAAAATTAAAAGAGGCTTACGATTTAGGTTATCTCACAGGTTCCTGAGTCACTGGAGAAATAGTGGACAGTTTCCAGAAATAGACGACTATGTCCAGAAACAGCCCTGAAACAGGATTTGTCAGCAAAATGGTTACTTCTTGGTTTTCTTTTCTGTTTTTATGAAGAAATAAAAATAAACTCTCTTGTCTCAGATAGGTTAAAAAATTAGGAAACGAGATCACAACATGGCAATGACTTTGGGACCATAAGCACGATGTTTACTCATTGTGTTACCAGTAAAGCATGTGATAATAACTAATTCTGAAAAGTGCATGGTGAGGATGACCCAGAAATAGAAAGAAACACATTGGAATTAAGTGTTGCATAAATGCTAAACAATTAAAAGACCTATTTTAAATTTAAACATACAATTTCAATATGTATATTTATATATTTTATTCTAAGGGCTGGCTGACCCCATTTCCTTCTCCATTACCATAAATTTCTTGTTTATTGGAAAATTTCAAAGTGATTTCAAATTTGACAGGATGTTTTAAATCTTGGAGTGAAGAGCCTATCTTAGTACTGTAGGGGCCAAGGGCAGGCCCCACCAAAAAGTCCTATTCTGGCATATTGATTATTTTGAATGAAAAGTTACTTCAGAAACAGAAGTGCAAGAACATCCCTTTTGCCTCCAGAAAGCAGGAAATCAATCTCCCATGCTAAGGGTAACCTCCATGTTCCAGAAGATAGACACCCTTATCTCCAGAGGGGGGGATTTCAGAGCAGAGAAGGCTGTATAACCAAACCTTGTTACTTTTCCGAATTTACTACCCCAGCCCAGATTCTGTTTAGAATTCCTTACCAATTGAAGCCCCAAAACATGTTGCCCTGTCAAGTCCTCACTGATGTATTGGCTCTGTCTGAAAAGTATAAAAACTGCTCCCTTCGTCATGTCCTTAGGCCTCACTTTCATTATTGGGCCTCTGTGTGCATGTAATTAAACTGCTTCTTTCTTTTCCTGTTAATTGCATCTTATGTCAATTTGATTCTTAGACCAGCTAGAAGAACCTTGAAGGAAAAAGGCAAATTTTTCCTTCCTAACAGTAAAAAGCAATAATTATTATTACAGTTTGGCCTCTGAACCCTGGACTCAAGTTTAAGTGAACAAATGATATAAAAAGCATTCACAGGTAAGAGAATTACTAAAAGAGATGGTGGAGTTCCAATGCAGAAAGCTCAGTAACAAAAACATTCTGATTAGCAAAAGTACTTATTTGATTAGATAGCAATTGTTAATATTAGAATGTGCTCAAATGAAAAGAAAAAGTCCTTACTTTATTTAAAGAAAAAATAACCCTATGCAACCAAGGGATTTCTACAGGTTGTAGAGGGGGAGAAAAAGACTTTAATAAGGTGTCGAAACTCTCTCATTTCTTACATTGAGAAATGCTGGTCTATATACTAACAACTCTCAAAGTCTTTATCTCTATAGCAACTTTTGCTCTAAAATCCCAGGATCATAAAAACAAGTTTCCTGTTGGATATTTCCACTTAAACGTCCTACAAATATGTCCCTTAAATACAACCTGTGCAAACTGGAAGGGATAATCTTTCCCCAACCCTTCTCTAATCTTATGCCTCTTCCAGTGTTTTGCATTTTGGTGAAAGCTTTCAAAATCTATAAAATTTCCCAACTTGGAAACATGACATACATGTCTTCCTCAATCTGCCATTTTCTATGTATTTTATATCAAATTGAGAATACCTGCTTCTTCTAGTTCTAAACACCTTTAGAGTACTCTATCAGTCAGGGTCTAATAAGTGAGGTAAGACCCATTAGTTATTTTAACAGAAAGAATTTAATATAAGGGATCAATTCAGTGGGTACTGGAAGGCTAAAAAGGCAGAGAGGGAACACTGAGTTAACAGAGAGAATTGCAGGAGCAGCTACTACTTCTTGGACTGGGTGAACAGAACACAGAGATTAGGGATTATCAGAATTTAGGAGCCTGGGGGAAGGACCCTGACATTCTTGGGACCCAGGCCTTGAGAAGGGCCATTGCCTGGTTGATACGAGTTCTGCAGGAACTCAGGGGAGGAGTCGCACCAAGTTGAGCTGTGGGAGGGAGACACCTGGTGCTGATCTCTCTCAAGGGTGTGATTAGCCTGATTCACAGTATGGAAAAAAGCTGGACTAACTGATGTTTCTTGGATAAAAGGCTTTGCTGGGATTATGCCAATGAGATCAGCAAACATGTGAGAATGAGCAGGTCTCCTCCTGTCTCCTTGGTTTGTAGCCTCCCTGGAGTACTTCCTAGTGGCAGAAACCATCAGGAGGCCAGTGGGAAGAAAAGAAATGTCACTTACAGAGCGCTAGCATCAGCATCACAGAACAAAATACAGAGTGAAGTGTGTTTGGTGTCAGGAGATAATAGCTGTCAAATGGTGAAAAGAGCACACTTTAGTTTGATGTCCTTTATTTAAGGGAAAGACATCCATGGATTGGGGAGGCACAGTGCCTCACAAGAAGTGGAACACTCTTCCCAAGGGATGTCTGGGCAGGAGTTTTATAGAATGTTAGAAGCAGCAATGTGGTGACAGTGCATAATCAACCAGGAGGTCGGGCTTCCTTTAAAAAGCTAGTGGCTTGGTCAGGGAGTAAGGAAAAAAAACATCCCTGGCCCAGACACACCAGACTAGAGTGTTTTAGCAATTGCAAAAAACTTACTTTTTATTGGGTTGTTTTCAGAGTCAACTCTGCATTCTAACAGTTCATCTTTAATCATTATAATGAGTATTGTACCTGAAAAACTAGATCGTAGGGGAGGAAAAATAGTTGTCCCTCTACCCTGCTATGTTCTGTGGCTGAGAATGCCCCTATAATAAAAGACAGATTAAAAGGAGAAAAACAGAAGTTTAATAACTTGTATAACACCCATACATATGGGAGAGACCCGGGAAAACTGAGTAACCACCTCAAATGGCCCAAGCCATTACCTTAAATATCTTCAGCAGAAGACACAAGAAAGATGTTGGGGGAGGGATGTCCGGAGAGTTGAGCAGGAAAAATTTGGTTATTGTTATGCAGATTTAAGTTACTGCCTTCTCCATTGTTTAGAGTTTCTGGAGGTTTGGAGTCATCCTTCTCTTCAAGATACAGAGAAGGAGATAACTTTTCCAAAAGATTTCCTTTATAATTAGAAGTATCACTTATAAAAGTGTTTCCAGAGATTCTCCTGTGTGTCTGCAGTTTTTCAAAAATAACCAATTTATAAACAATCTGTATGCCAAAGAGGCATATGTTGGGGTGGTATATGCTGCTCCCCTTCCAGATTAGAGATGCAGAATCGGATTAGAAATTTGTGGACCTGATAGGAAATTGAAGAAAGCTTTCCAGTTCAGTCAGGGAGGAAGGAGCTGGGAGGAAGGAGCTTTGCTAGGCAATAACCTGAGCAGAAAGCGAGTGAAGAGTCCTGTCCACACAGATTAGTTCAAAGAGGTTACCAAAGAAACTAAAGGGGTTACAAAAGATTGTTTCACAAGAGTGAAGTAGCCAATGACAGTAACATTATGTTTAAGTCAATGGGAAAGATTCTTAAATGTCTTAAGGAATCAAGAGATGCAAAATTAAACCAAGCCAGAGAGTAACTCAGAGGCAATCTTCATGGGTACTGCAGACTTCCATCTCTAACAGAAGGATTAGCTAATTCCTAAACCCTTGTGAGAGTGCCCTCGAAACTAAGTTCAAAATAAAGTATGTAATTCTTGTTATAACAAGTACAAAAATAGCTCATTATACCCATCAGTAGAGTAGGAAGAATTTCCCTGAACATATGTTGGTTCAGGTCTTGGATCCTGGCTTTTAATCTTGAACCTCCAATGAGAACCTTAAGTGATTGAAAGAATTATAGATTTGCTTGGGATGGTTGAATAGTTTCTTTCATGGGTGTATGTTTGGGAAATTGTAACACTTTGCTGTGATTGTGATAAGTTCAGAGAAAATGTGTAAATGTTTGGTACTTTATTTAGTTTATAAAATGTTAATAATGTTTACAATGTTGGCATATTGGTGCATTTGGCCAAGTGGCCTGGTGATTTCATTCAAAATGTGTAGTAGAGTAATTGACTTTAGGTTTATGATTTTAAAATAAAATATTATAAAATACTTTGGATACATTTGTAAACATTACTAGAATGTTTAGGACAGCTTAATAGTTATTATATTAGTAGTTTTATTTTTTAGGTTTACAAAACCATTTAGAGAGGAAAGTATTATTTGTCATGCTCACAATTAAGGTGCTTATAAATGAAAATCAAATATAGTGATACTCTTAGTTTAAACCTTTTAAGGTAATTTAATTAATCAGGTTGTAAATGGGACTGATTCTTCTGAGTTTACTTTTTTAAATTTGAGTTGCTCAAGCTTCAAAGATGCCCCCGAAAGTGACTGTGAACACATTTGTGTACACAAAATAATATAGCTTATAAATTGACCTAACTTATTATTTAATTTATTATGCTAATTCATTTATATTAATAAAAAATGTCAAGGAATAACAAATAATCTTATCAGTGCTTAAAGATAGCAAATAATCCATAGTGGCAGTTTTGAAGATTATTTTTCAGGAAGGTCGAGCCCTGTGGCAGGTACACATGGTTCTAACACATGAGATTGGTGTCTTCAGCCTTTCTCAATAGCCACTGAAAACCAGATTGCAATTAGCAAATATCCCAAACAGTACCCTGTTCTGATCCCTGAGTCCTTCCTGCCAAAGAGAGAATTTTCCTTTTCCCCTCAACTTTTTTCTGCATGTTACCACTGGCAGAGCGAATGTGACTCAAGAACCGGTTCCCCAGGGTTGTAACATTAGATGATGCACCACTTGGGTCATTATGGAGTGAACTAATTACGGGGTGCCTGTGTTTCATTGGGCTGGGCTCTCCAGAAGGTGTGTTGCTCTCTGCATTACCGGAAGAGCACTTGCAGGTGTGGAGAGAAAATACTGCTGCTGTCCTGGCTCCTGGGCTGGGAAGGATTTTTGATGTTAACCAGAAATACCTCCAGAAGATTCAAGAAGCTGTAGAGGTGAAGTTAAGTCTGTGAAGGACCAGCATGGGAATTTTATACTCTGAGGTATGTAACCTTCCTGGAAGTAAGATTCCAAAGGTGTTTAAAATTCTCTCATGCTTTTCAAATGTAATTTTCTGTCCCTGTTGATATTTTTCCTTTTCTTCTGTTTTACTTTCTGTGACAATATTAAGTCAAAACAAAGTCCTGTGTGTTAATCTTTTTGATGTTTTTAATATTTGAAGGCAAATTATTTTACACTTCTAAGGCTTTAGTGACAAGTAAATACAGAGGGCTGTGATGTGTATTTCATTTCATGATGTCTAGATGTTTGTGGGGATAATTTGAATCCTTCAGAAGTTTCTGAAAATGGAGTTAATGGAGTCATTGATTGTCTGATGTCAAACATCCAGGGGAAAAATGAAAATTGTACCAAATTGGATTTTTTAAACATATAAAAGATTGGTTCTTTTATGGAGCTGCATGTACAGAATAATACTTTTCAGCTCAGCATTTTGAAAGGTAATTTCCCTGTAGCAATTTATTTAATAAAGACTGACCCTGATTAGAAGAGAGATAAAAACAGAATATATTTTTGATATTTTAAGTTTTTTCTGTTCACATTTGAAGAGTACAAAAATACTTTTTCCTGTATTGAAAGTAGCCTATTAGAATCAATTAGATTTTTGAAAATGTTTCTGAGGTGTACAAGAGAGTAATGTTTAAGCAAGAGTGCAAGAGGTGTTATGACATTATTATTCACGATTTAGTCCCTCTCCTAACAATTAACCGGTTAGGCCGGTTACCATTTCATGGTAAAGGCTCAGCAGGATGACCTTGGGTGGTTCCTCTAATATTAATGGCAGTTTCTCTGCATTTGCAGATATTTCTAACACCAGTGGTGTGTGTTTGTTGGTCTTTCTATAGTCAATGTGCTCTTTGGTTAGTTTAAAATTCTATGTATGTCTTGCTCAGTGTGAGTTTAGTTTGGTGAAGAGCTCACATACATGAAAATGATGACACGTAATGTTTTAAAATGTTAGGTATTTCTCAAACTTTAGATGCCCTAAGGGTTGGGGAGGGGAACTTATTTATGATGCAGTTTCAGGAGTCCCTACCCCAGAGAGTCTGTTTCAAGCGGTCTGTGGCAGGGTCCAGAAACCTACTTTTTAGAGCATTCCAGGTATTCTGAGGCAGGTGATCAGTTTACCACTTCTGAGAGAGAAATACTGCTCTAGGTTAGTGCTGTTCAAATTTTAATGTGCATCCAGATCTTCTGAGGCTCTTATACAAATGCAGTTTATTCTGTAGATCTGGGTGAGGCCTAATATTATTCATTTCAGCTCCCTGGAACTTCCATTGTTGGCCCAGGACCATACTGCGGGTGGCCTGGCTATCGTCTAGACCCTGGGAATAATCACATTAAAAAATTGCAGTGCGATTGTTTCCTTGATGGAGAGTTGATTTGGCAAGTGACTGAGTCAAGGCACAGGCCAGACTTGTTGAAGTACTTACAAATATCAATGAAAATATCTCCAGAAGTAACTCAAATAAATGTTTCACTTTCTTGATAAATTGAGGACAAAGTAACTTGGAATTTACTATGGAATTTTAAAAACAGAACCACCCCACACATACAAATACACACAAAAACATACACACACACACACACACTTAAAAAACCCTTGCTTACCTAGAAGCTCAGAGGTAATTGAATCAAAGATAGTCTAAAGTAGAGCCGAAATAAATGTTTCGAAATACATTATGAAATAAATGCAACTTAGTATCACACATGGAAGTAGTTTCTAGGCTCTTCTGTTTGATTTTGCTCACTTGCCCACTGAGTCTAGGATCAGCAATATGTAAGACACGCAACACCCAGAAAGTCTTAGTCATTTCCAGAAAGAAGATTAATGGCCACTTATAGGGAAATAATTCATCAATTTTCAGAATTTCCCCTTGATGTCAACTTTTTTTTTAGGTAAAATAGCCACCATTGAGAGTACAGAAATGTAGATGTAAAACAGACTAGTCTGTGTCCCAGTTTTGTGCTAGGAATAAGTGTTTGATCTCCCAGAGTGGCAGCGGGGCTGGGAATGCTGCTTGGGGAGTGGAAGTGTTTGGGTGTGTTTATTCTGCTGCCCCATTACCTGCCAGCAGCCTGGGACCAGGGGATGTTCAGTTAGCAGGAGGAGTCTTCTCCCTGAGTTCTGCTGCCTGGGTTTTCCAGTTTGGCTGCTGGGTTTAGACATTTCTCATTTTCAACTGGCAGTATTGGGGAGGAAAGTTTTTCCTCTATTCTTCAAGGTTCTTCTGGGTGGTCTAAGAATCAAATTGACATGAGACAGATTGACAGGAGAAAAAAAAAACAGTTTAATTACATGTACACAGAGGTCTAATAATGAAATTGAGACCCAAAGAAATTACTAAGGCAGGCAGTTTTTATACATTTTAGACAGAGACAGTAAATCTATGAGGAATTATAGGACAAAGCAAACTTATGTTTGAGGACTTCATTTAATGTTGACAAAAAGATTATTAAAATCACCTTAAAATAAAGACAAAGTTTTATTTGAGCCCAACTGAGGACTAGCCCAGGAGACTTACCTTCTACTGGTAGAAGACATGTTCCAAAGGGCCTAAGTCACATGAAAGTTTTTATATCCATCAGGAAGCAGGCAAGAAAGACAGATGTTCAAAGGGGTACATTTCATTTGTGTAAGATATGCCATGCAAAGGAAAGGTGTGTGTGTGTGTGTGTGTGTGTATGTGTGTGTGTTATACATCCTGGTGCCAATGCAATTAAAGGCAAACATTCTTGCTTTATTTTAGCAGGAATCCATATGCCAACTGTTTAGTTTATAATAAAGCTAACAGATGCTATTGCAGAGTTAGCAAGTTTCAAGTGTAAATGGGCAGCCATTTTGAGACTCCCAGAATTAATGAGCCCTTCAATACTCAGGCCTTAGTGTGGTGGTCCCTAGTGTGGTGGTCAGCTTTTCTTTAGTTCACACTAGTAAGGAATTCTAGACAGCATTTGGGCTGGGGTAGTAAATTAGTAAAAAAGTCACAAGCTTTATTTATGCAGCTGTCTGGGCCCTGAATTCCCTGTCTCTGGTGATAGGGTGTCTCTTACCTCCTGGTACAGGGAGGGCACCTTTCACGTAGGAGATTTACTTCCTGGTTTCAGTGGCAAGGGGGTCAGAAGAGGACCAGAGATCCCTCCTGTCCTGGCTGCTTCTCCAGTCACTTTAATTCAAAGTAATCAATTGGCCAAAGTGACATATTTTGGGGTGGCCTGCCCCTCGCTTCTGCAAAAGATATGATGGTGTCCCAGAACAATGGATTCTAGAGCTACACCGATTCTGCCAAAGAATTTGAAAATCCTTAATATCCCAGACCAACTTTTTGATACTTAGACTAATATTGTGCTGTTAAACATCCAATAATAGAATAATCTGACTTGAGCCATGGATGAAAAGTGCCTAAGACATATGGATTCTTTTAGATTGGAAGACAGATTAGCTTACTTCTTATAGCTGCCCTTGGGAGTAACATGTGAATGGGAAAAAGAAAAGCTGTGTCTTAGTCTTACCCTCTGGCATTCTGATGCAGAAGGTCTGGGGTGAGCCTCCTGTGAGATTCTCTCATCTATAATTTTAAAGAGGTTGAGAAGCTGTGGAGTAATACCTCAAATATTTAAACATAACATAATCATCTGTCATGTCCCAGTCTCTCATTTATCCTGTACCAGTTACTCTGTGTTTCCTTGGTGTACAAGATGTGACATGAACTGCTAAATAAGAGCAGGGCAAGTGCCAGCCAGTCCTGCTCCACTTCTTGGTCCTGTACTGCCTCAAAGCATCTCTTTTTATTAAACTTTTAGTAAAGTTCTCCTTTCCATTTTGAATGGGGCAAGCTCCTCTAGATTGGAGACATAGGCTTATCAGTTTTCTTTAGAGCCTTAGGAGAGGAAAAACATCTTTTTCCCTGGACTCATGTTAGGGTCATTGGCTGGGCTTTATAAATTAGACTCACCACAGAAAGATTAACAAGAGAAAAACAAACAAGTTTATTAAAGGTGCATCACATATACACACAGGAGTAAGTGATGAGTGACTCACCAATAGGGGTGGTTAGGACTTGAGTTCATGTAGAATCTTAAATAAATCATTTTTAGAGAAGAGGCAAGACAAAGGAATGGACTTTATGTTTCTAAGGAGGTGAATCGTAGGAAGGCAAATATATGGGAGAACTGATGGAAGATAAGGGCTCATTAGTAAATTGTATTATGTAGATTTCTTTGATGGCTTCCCTGGGCCAACACAGGGGAGCTTTTGTCCTTTCTGGTAGACAAGGGAGGGGAACATCTTCACATATTTACATCCTGCTTTTAGCTAAATGGGAGAAGGCAGAGAACTTTCCTTGTATGTGCTTCTTCTCAATTACCTTCATCTCAAAATAATCATTATGCCAAAAGGCATATTTAGGGTGCATATTCTGCTACCTTTCAGAGCCTTGTATTGCTAATGTGTGTGTGTGTGTGTGTGTGTGTGTGTATTTTTGAGACATAATTGATACACTATAGTAGTTTCAAGTGTACAACATAATGATTCAATATTTGTGTATGTTGGAAAATGATCACCACAGTAAGTCCAGTTAACATCTGGCCCTATACACAGTTACAAATTCTTTTTTTTACTTATGATGAGAACTTTCAAGATCCACTCCCTCCTTACTTGCAAGTACATAATACAGTATTATTAACTATTGTCATCATGCTGCACATCACATCCCCATGACATTCATTTTATAACTGAACATTTGTACCTTTTGACCCTTTTTATCCATTTGGCCAGCCCCTTACCTAGCTACAACCACTGATCTGTTCTCTATACATGTGTTCAGTTTGGTTTTGCTATTGTTGTTTTCCAGATTCCACATATAAGTGAGATCACTTATTTTTTTTCCTTTTTCTTTAACATAATATCCTCAAAGTCCATCTATGTTGCTGCAAGTGGCAAGATTTCATTCTTTTTTATGGCTGAATTATATTTCATTGTATA